TCACACGAAATCAGCCATAGGTCGTGGTGCATGCCTGCACCATCAGTACTCTAGAAGTAGAGACAAAGGAGATATTGGTATGTTTGAGGCCAGACTAGGAGGCCAGACTAGGCTGTGTGGTAAGAGCCTGCCTAGAACAAATGCCCCAACCTCAACCACGAGTACAACAAGATCCCCACAGAAGCTTGCCAATGCATCAACTCTGCCCATTCTCTTTTTACAACACCCCACTCACAGAAGAAAGAGAAAGAAGGTATCTGTGTGAATGAGGCTTCCATTCCTCATCCCTCACATTTCCAGGCGAGTAGAACCATCCTCGAGGAGCTTTCTCTTGGCCTTTTAAAAAGCTGTGATTAGCAGGACAATGGTGGTGCACGCCTTTAATCCCAGCACATGGGAGGCAGAGGCAGGCAGATTTCTGTAAGTTCCAAGGCTAGCCTGGTCTACAGAGTGAGTTCCAAGACAGCCCGCTAAAATAAACTCCATCTTGAAAAAAAATAAAAAAAAAAGCAGTTATCTGTATTCATATGTAGCATTTTGATATTAGTGTATGATACCAAGTATTTTATATCCCTTTTCCCATTTGATTCTTTTCTTAATTTTTAAAAATATTTTTAAGTTTTTCTTTTTAATTTTTTAGTGTGTGTGTGTGGGGGGGGGGTTAAAGGGAGGTTAGGCTTTCTCTGTGTAGCCTTGGCTGTCCTGGAACTCACCCTGTAGACCAGGTTGGCCTTGAACATTCAGAGATCAGACTGCCTCTGCCTCCCAAGTGTTGGGATTAAGGGCATAAGCCACCACTGCTTGGCTTCCAATTTAATTGTTAAAAGTGTGCTGGCAAAAGAAAAAAATGAAGAAATTTAAAAAGGAGGGGGCATACGGGGGGAAAAGGAAGGGTCATTACTGTGGTCATTCATAGGTGAGATGAATTTAAGGCATGGAGCAACCAGCCTGAGACTGTGTCATGTCCAGCTTGGTTCCTGGAAGCATCATCTTTAGTACAGCCTGGCCTTCCCTGAGATGATACATAGACCTTCTGGACTGCCCAAAGAACACAAAGACAAACAAAAGCTGACTAAGCCAGGACATCTTTTCCTGGCAGAAACCAAGTCATCTGGGGTCCACATGTGTATTTCTGGAAAATGCAATATTCTGTTTCTTTGAGAGGAAGATGTTTTTGGTGGGGAAAGAACACAAGGGCAAAACAACGCACCCAACCCACACAAACAGGAGAAGCAGTGCATTTCGCTGAGCTCAGCTTAAGCAGATGCAAAGCATGCTGATTTTTTTCTCTCTCTCTCTTTTTGGATGTGTGACCAGCTTTTGCAATAACACAAAAGGGCAAAATGAGTTTAGGAATCTTTCAAGCAGAGAACAGCTGAGAACCAGCCAGAAGGCTAAACATAACCTGGTCTTTTTGTGCAGACTCCAGCACTGGCTGTTATGTTTCCTCAGGAAGTGGACCCTGCCAGGGTTGTGGATGGCTGTGTTGATGGAAATCTGTATTCATATCCAGGGCATAAATTTGCTTTCAGGGTTTATTTTAAAATCTTATTAGCTTAACATATAATTCAGAAATGGAGCCTGTGAGTATAGACTATAGAAATGGAGACTCTGTAGAATGTAGCCTAGGCTCTTCTTCTGCCCCTTCTTCTTTCCCCTCCCCCCCCATGTCTTTCATATTCTTGCCTGATGGATGATACAGCAAACCTTCTTGAAATGGTCATTGGTGGGGAATGATGATACCAACGGTGCTCCGAACTGCCCCCCCTCAAATATGTCACTTTGTCATCTCCCAAGCAGGGGAGAACCCTCCCATGGGAGATGCTATTCCAACAGCTGGGAGAAGGGGGCCACCGTGTCTCTGATGATAGAGAGACACTGTGGAGAAACCAAGCAGGTGGTACAAGTGCCAGCAGTTCCTTACACTCAGGTCATACTCATTGCTCTACCATACCTCTCTACAACCATCCACTTGCTCTCAAGTTAAGCATTAAAACATTTAGGCTTCAGCCCTGTGTGGTGGTGTGTGTCTACAATCCCAGCCTTGTGGCATGGAGGCAGGGGATCAGGAATTTAAAGCCAGTTTCAGGCTAATTCAAGGCTAGCTCTGTTTCAAAATACCCATAAGCAACTACATACATGTATGTGTTTAGGTCTCATTGCGTTCTGAGGATTGTAAGACGACTTCTTTATGAAGTTTCCCATGCTGTACAACTGTTAAACTTGTCTGTTTTTTTTCTTGTTAATTTGTATTTATCATGGGAGCCTCAGCTCTGAATCTTGGATCCATTGACTGAAAGGTATAGGGTCGCCCACGGTTTCCCTAGGTTGAACTGAAGGCATTGTAGAGTGTACTACTGGGCTCTCACTTCTCCATCTGGATGCCTCACCAGAAAGGACCCAAGATCCACAGGACTGCAGGGGTTTCATCCTCTTTCCATCAGCAGCTAGCATTCCTCTGACCTTCTGTTGGAAGAGTCATACTCTTAATGAACACCTACGTAGTCACAGTGACCACCGTACAGTACCATTCGAAGTCACGACAGGAAGAGACCACACTTGGGATTTAATCTCTAGTTACAATGGGTCAACTGAGGACACAGTTTCTTTTTATTAAGCCATCTATGAACTGTTATCAGTGGATAGGGGCCTGGGACAAAATGAACTGATCACGAGGCTGCCATAGCTCTATCTGGAAGATCAGCTTCTCAGCCACGGAAGCAAGAACATCATGCGGAGTGTACAAGGAGCGTGTCAGTCTGGCTAGGTGTGGTTTTCTAGTCTTATGATTACAAACTTTTCCCCCCAAATAAATACACCCAAATCATATAGAAAAAAAAAAAAGAGACACAAAAGTCTCACGCATGAGAAAGAAACATAACATGCCTTTCTAACACAGCAGGTTCAGTATGGTGTATGCATAACTGAAAAGCCAGAGGATGTTTCCATTTTAGTGGCAACCAGAGAACCAGTATACATTGTTTCCATTTTAACACATGTATCACATTGGTTATGTATATAACCGTCCAGCTATTTCTTTTCATTGAAAGGCAATGCCTACCGTCACTCTCCCAGCAACCAATGGTGAACAGTTAACAAAAGCCAATCCAGCTTTAGTCATGTTAGTTTAACGATGAAAAGCACCTAACAGCCCCACCTCCATCACCTTTGTAACACGGACACCCCCTAAAGAGATTTTAAGTCAGGCTGTCCCCTGCCTTCCTTGCCAGTCCTATCCCTTCCACAGCACAGGCTCATCAGATGAGACCCTCCCCCTTTTTTTTCTCCTCATGTGCCATGTGCTGGATTAGACAATTTAAATGCAAATCTCCAGGAGTCTCATTATCCAACTTTGTGCAGATTTGGTACAGTTGACTGTGCCGATTGCCTGTGAAGCATGTGGGAACCTCATCTGTATTCTAACACACAGATATACCGAGTGTAGATTCAAAGGAGCAATTCATCACCACTTTGAAATCAAACCTAGTACCTAGGTTACAGAGGAATTCTGCTCTTGGAACACAGAAGCCAAGTTTTCTACAAAGGCAGTGAGATAGGACCTTGCCTTCCTGGTGCCATTGAGTTCCCCATGACATCAGATAATTGAAATAAGATTTCATTTTCACAGGGATACACACTGCAGAGCAGAAAGGATACATCCAGGGCAGTGCTACACATGGCAGGATACCCTCTATATGGATTCTAAACAGAACCGGCAAGAAACTGATCCTCAGTGATTTACCAAACCCACAAGGCTCCAGAAGGTGTACTTCCTATTTTTATTTTTATTTATTTATTTGCTAAACCTGTCTTTCAAATATAAATGTTACTTTAAAACAACTCTTTGGTTAAAGGATCATTAAAATAAAAAGCAGAAAGCTTCCCAAGCCTTTCATTAGAGGGTAAAAAATAACCCCTTCTTTCAGCCATCAGATGGCCACTTAATGAACCATTCAGATTGCATGAATCTGAACACAAAGGGAAAGAGACTCTGTTATCTGAATTCTACTGGCACCCCCGGGGTGAAGCAAAGGGCTCCTCAAGGCCCAGCAGCAGTGTGAAGAGCCTGGGAAAAGGACAGCCTCAGAGTGTGTATTAACATGCATCAGTTATTCCAGTCAGACACACAGAAACCACAGGGACAAAGTCCTACCTGGGAATAACACTGGGGCATGTACACACTTGGCGAAGCAGGATGCTGTTTGAATTTGTAATCCCATATTAAACCCTTCCACTAATTTCATCTCCCCTGAAGTATTTCAAATGGCTTTCAATGCTTAAAAAAAAAAAAAAAAGGACAAGAGGAGGAGGGGGAGGCACGTGGTGAAAAAAATTTATTTATTTTTTTCCTGCCCTGTCTCTAACTCATTCTTTGTTCCAGTTATCATCTGCGCTAGCATGAGTTGCAGATTGAAAAGAGGTAGCCTCAAATCAGGGTCTACTGCCAACAGAGACCTTTTGTATGCATAGGAAATCTGACGGTCCAGAGGTCTCTACACACAGATTCAGTGTGAGTCCCAAGACTCTCAGCTGGACCCAATCTTTAATTCTTTTTAATAGACCAGTGTGCAATACGATGTTAACTGAATTCCGATCACCCAGCCACTTTGATAAACAATCTGGAGAATGAAACTTTTCTGTACTCAAGAGTTCTCCCCTCAAATTCTTCGGAAAGTTACCTCAGATTCTGCCTTCTCTGGCTCTGTAGACAATTGCCCAGGATGCTGTCTATACTGGATTATGGACAATAGAATACAGCCCAATCAAAGTGATGAATTTACCTGAACACTTACATGGACATACACACATAGGTGTATGTCTGGTTGTTACATTGTAATGCTTCTAATGACACATTTGTTTTATATTAAGTATTCCTTCTCAGTGGCGCTGGTTTCAATTTGCACACACATGCTACACAATGAACTATCTCATACCGAGGTACTGTCTGTGCCCCTAATGGCTATCCATATACACAATTAAACAGACATCGATATGGGATGTTTCGGTTTGATTGTCATTTATTCTTCTTTTAAATACACGCACTCTCTCTAAATACAGGAAGTGGGTGTAGTGAGAGCCCACTGATAGGCTGTGACTCTCCTTCCTTCAAGTGGTCCTCCCCGCCAGCTGTTTTAAATGACCATAGAAAAGCAAAGAGGGCAGCAAAAGAAGCAGTACAGTGTGACTGTCACTGTTCACATTAGTCCTGGGCTTCCTAGACAACCCAAAACTGGCTAACCTATGGACGTTCTGCTACAGTGGACATGGACAGTATGTGACCAACAACACGACCTTTGATATAGATTCTAAAAATATCTATATTGCACTGGAGGTTTTTTTTCTTTTTCTTTTTTTTTTTTTGCTGATCCAAATAGTGAATTGAACATACATCCTTTCAAATATCAATCTCCTTAACTGCTTAACACAGTTGAGAGCCTGGGTGAAAAGACAGGTCCTGATTCACACAGGCTTGGGGACTTCACAGTTCATCCGGCCATCATAGGGGTCATTTCAACTTGATTAATACTCTGCCAGTCGCTGCACCTCCCATTCAATGATTCAATGATTGCATGATTCCTAAAGTGCTTGGGGCGAGCAAAAGGGCTGTTCTTCCCATTTCACAGATAGAAGCATGAAGGGCCAGGCTGCTCTGGAGATCAAGTGGTGGTACCAGGGTAAATGCTGTAAGTCTTCAAGCAGGTGCCTTGCATGCTAGTGGACAGAATCTGCTGAGAGTAGAGTCTGCTGTCTGACACCGGACTACTCTTACGGTTCCTAACAACCACCAAAGCACTCCTCAGTGTGGCTTTGCCTGACTTGCAAATGGAATACAAAAGACGATTCCCAACCCAGCTGGATTCCAGACACAGTCCTTCTTCCTCTTGCATGCCATTTGAGGGTGGGAGCAGCTCTCTGGGAGAAGAATGAGGCTCTTTAGCCATGCACAGCCTGAAGGAGGAAGGTAGTTTCTGCTGCAGCAGGTGCTCAGCTTAGGAAGACAGTTCTCCAAAGCCTTGTTAGCTAGGCAAGAACAGAGCGATGGATTTTTAAAATTCTCCCTCGGAATCACTAGACTTTCTCTCATTGACACAATCTCACCATCCCCTAAAGCATGAAAAGAAATACACTAAATGATTCTGAGCTGTCTGCTTTGAATGCAGTGTGGGCTTTCCCACTGCTACGGAACATCCTGAGGACTCATCTGCAAACGGCCAGTCCTTCCCATCTCCCAGGTAGCTTATTCTTGCAGGAGGGTCTCTCTCCAGTTGAAGCCCCCAGTGGGTCCATGGGTAAGGGGAAGGATGGGAGGGTCTGTCAGTTGCCAGATTCCAGTTTCTCCCAATTCTTCACAGGAACAGAAGCCTAGGTACGGGATCTGAAAGATAAAGCATCAGAGGAGGGAAAACAGAAGACCTTGAGTTAATTGCCTTAACCTCTGTACTGACACAGAAGCTCAGGTGTTTCCAGGGCATGCAGGCGGAAATGTAAAACCTTCCAAAACTTAACAAACAATTCCAGGCAGATGGAACCTGTAAGGCTAAGCATTCGTATGGATGAACAAGAGCTGGCCAACGGTGAGCACCCCTACTACAAGATTAGAGATGGTTGGCTAATAGCACAGGAGAAGAGGATTGAAGTATGTGTGGTACTGCCTTAACCATGGAGAGCCATCCCAGGTTCCTAGTGGACGCCTTGAGTTTGGATAGTATCAAACCCTGTATATGTCTTCCCCCCTATATTAACATTCCAATGACAACGCTTAATTTATAAACTAGACACAGTAAGACTAACATCAATAACACATAAAACAGAACATTGTTAACAATATACTATAACAGAAGTTACTGTGAATATACTCACTTCCTACCCTACCCGATATCTTACTGTATAATACTGTATCTTCAGACCACAGTTGACCTCAGGGTTAGGGACAGACTAGAGTCAAGCAACTGTACTAAGGGTTAACTTAGTACAAATTGCATATCTCAAGTTTAAAAAGCAGACCAATGATTTCTCACATTAAATTTGGGCACCATGGGAAAGAATATCCACGTTTTCTTGAGGTAAGCTCTCAGGTAATCCAGGCTGGCCTTGAACTCATTATGCAGCTAAGGATGACCCTGAAATCTGGATCATCCAGCATCTACTTCCCCAGGATTGGGATTATAGGCATGTGCCACTATACCTAGCCGATTATTCAATTAAAAAAAAAAAAGAAGATCAACCTTTGGGTGGTGGGGGGCATAGCACGTACCTGTGACATTCAGAGAAGAAAGCATGGGGCTGTCCTGGCAAGTCAGAGCTTATTTCTGTGGTCTCTGTCCAGAGTCACAGTCATAAACAAGACAACCAACTGTCCTCTCCCTGACCCCCTCAGGTTACAGCCTAATGGGATGAATGCTTGCCTAAGTGAAAACTTTTAAAATAAGAACATTGTGATTTGAGTTTCTGTTTAAAGGGAAAAAAGACACCTGCTTCACCTGAAGAGGTGTGTAGCTGATGGAGAATACAGGCAGAAGGAAGACCCTTGACAGGCCAGCCTCCTGGGGCTTCTGTCCTGCCTTGGTTTTGACTTTATCTTTCAGTTCTCACGTGCTGTTTCCCTTGTCTGCCTGCTGAGCCCTCTCTTGAGGCCAAGATCTCAGCTGTATTCCTGTTTGCCTGTGTTATTCCCTCATCACTCACAATTCTTAGCTTCCTCCATAAAAAAACCTTCTTTGACACAGTCCCAATCAAAGGCCCCATGGAGTTCCACCGAACACATCTTGGCTGAGCTGAGCAGTAACAGAGTCTTCCCAGCTCAGCAGAAAATTCTGCTTCGAGGAAATGAGCTATCAGCCAGTCGCCCAACAGTTATAAAAACACAAAGTACCCACTGGCCCCCCATAAATGCAAGAGTGAATTACCTTCCGGACCATTTGTACGAAGTCCTTGGAGTTCTGCGGGGACAGGCCTTGGAGTTGGCAAGTACACGCTTCAAGGGAAGACGCGTGGGCCACGATCAGAATGTTATTTCCTAGGAGATGAGAAAGGTTCATTACAGTGACTGTCTCCCTATACATCACAGGAAATGAGAAAGGTTCATTACAGTGACTGCCTTACTATATATCACATATGCATATATTGAAATCACACTGCACTCTATGAATATGTACAATCGTTACGTATTAATTATCAGCTTTAAGGAAGTCTAGGGATGTAGTTCAGTAAATGGGCATTTCCAGCATGCATTATGCTCCGGGTTTGGTCTTGGAGACTGCAAGGAAATAGGTAAATTTAGGGCAGGAGAATCTACTAACATGCACTTCATTTGAAAATGTCATAATATTGTCTAATACCTTGTACGGTAATTTAAAAAGAACTAAAAATTATTTTTAAAAAATTCAAAGTAGAAGTAATTACCCTACTGGTGTAAGGAGGTCTTAGGTCCCTTCACCCAGCCTCCCCACCCCATGATTGATGTTTCATGATGTGATTTACCAGCTAAAGCCATGGAAATGGATATGGGTACAAGTGATAATTCTGATCTTCCCAGGCTCATCAACACTGCTTTGTGTGTGAGCATCCAGTTTAAGGCGGTGTCCTCATCATATCTCTGTGTAACCATTACCATCATCAAGACACAAGCCGACCATGTTGGCTGGCTCCCTGAGCCAGCACCTCTAGGACAGTTTTAAATGTCACCACTGCAGAACTGTGAGCACTGGAGACCTCGTAGCTGATAGCACGCTTCATGTATCTTCATAGTGGTGAGTAATATCAGTAATAATCGCAATGCGGGTATCATCCTTCCTCAGTTGCCCATGGCTACCCACTGTTAACATCTGCGTGTATAAAGTTGCATTCTTTTGTTCCTGGAGTATAAATATATTACCCTAAGACTCATGGTGGCCAGTTGGTCCTACATGTCATCAACTATTTGAGACCAAACTCTAGAAGATGCAAATAGGTTTGAGCCTCCCCCGTCACTGTTCTTGGCTAGCAGCAGCAGGGATCGTGTACCCATGCATCCCTGTGGGTGAGTTTGTGTATAGATGTACCCATCCTGGATCATCATAGGCAAATCAGAATGGAATTATTCTATAGAACTTCTGGAAATTACAACTGGGTATCCCCTCCATAAGGTACAAGATGAATAGCTACGATACCAAGCCCAAGTTACTTAATGCGGTAATGCCATCATCTACTGGTTCCTGGGTGATAACTTCCATGTTAGATCCTCACAGAATATCACGAACTGAACGCCCAAGTTTCTACTAGAGAGCCTGGAAACATATTTCTCTCCTGTTACAGTTGACAAAGCAAAATTCAGACATCTCAACCGGTTCGTCAATCATGAAGGAGAGCTGTTCCCCATCTTTAAGTATATTTAAATGTGCACTCCCAAATGATGCCACCTACCTTTATTCTTGCATTCACTTATTATCTCTTTCGTCACCTGGAAACTCCTATTGATGTAGGTGTCGTAGGATTCCGAAATCACCAATTTGCTGACTGGAATGTGAGGTCTATAAGTGCAAAGGCGAACAGAGCAAGGAAACATTTCAACACTTCGACCCTGAGATAAAGTGAATGACATCATCCTAAATATGTCGAGACCTCTCTCGGAGGAGCCCCTATTTCTGCTTATCCATTTCTCAGGAAAGGAAGGAGGCCCAAGGAAGAGACTTTGAGGTTGAAAGGCCACAATGACTCCCTAGAAAAAACGAGGCACCCAGTGAATGCCTCACCCACAGGGACACACCTAAGCAGACTAATGACTTTTTCTTGACATTAATGGTCAGCAAGGGTCCTAATCACACAGCTAAGAAGAAGCAAGGTAGAGACTGATTGACTCCTTCTGTATAGATCACCTGGGATGTCCAAGGTTCTCCTAGGCAGCCTTCTTCTCAATGAGCTGCAAGGAGAGCTTTGAAAACAGGTGTGCTGTCCATCTATTTGGGAGCTTATGACATTTCCAACAGCCACTTCCTTCTCTGTGTCTTATTTTGAACCATGCACTAGGAAAAGCCTGAGGGCCATAATGATGAATTAATTTCTCCACTTGAGAAGCTCTCTGCGTGGACCAGGTGGGGGAGGCTGTAGATGGAACCCATAACTGTGATACAATCTACAAAGGCATAGAAGAGAGAGGGGCCCACCTTGATCTGTTTATACTCCCCTTTTATTTTACTGATGTCCTAGTCCAGGAGATATTTGTCTTATCTTATATCCTATGCCTTTTCTATATCCTATGTCTTTAATTGTTGAATGTGTGGCACCCGGTACAGGTGGTGTTGAGTTCTCTAAACTCATATGACATCTTGATTATAATTTTTAAATTATATACTGTTAAAATTAATGCTAAAAATATTTACTGAGGGGCTCCAATGTGTAGGGGTATATGCAAGCCTGCTGCCTGCATTCTTCCAGGATAATCTTTTCTCAACACTTCCAAAAATTCTAAGCCTCTAAGTAACAAAACAGGCCCTTAGATGACAGCTGACTTGTTTGAGTCTTTGGCAACTCTTAGAGCTGAGGTCTGAATCTGAGTCTTGGATGTGCCCTGTGATCTGAACCTCTTACGTAAACAGGGCAGCTTCTGCTAGTGTTCTCTTCAAGATCATTCATCATAGTTGGGTATGTCAGCACATACTTGACATTTCAGCTTTCTCGGGGCTAAGGCATAAGAATTGCCAGTGGAAGTTGAAGGCTGGCCTGTGTTACAGAGCAAAACACTTTCTCAAATACATGGATCAGTCAACCAACCAGCCAACCAACCAACCAACTAACCAACCCCAAACCAACCAACCAACCAATCAACTAGTCAACCAACCAACCAATCAACCAACTAGTCAACCAACCAACCACTCAACCAACTAGTCAACCAACCAACCAACCAACTAAACAAATGAACAACAAACCAACCAACCAACCAACCAACCAACCAACCAACCAACCAACCAATCAAACATAGTAAAAGACCGGCCATTCAATGCTCTATTTTACTATCAGGAAGCCTAATACTGTTGTGTTTGGAGGAAACCTGATTTTTCTACCCATCCAGCAAGCACATTTCTCCAGGGAGAAAGCTTCCTGATTCTCACTACCTGACTCTTCCCTGAAAGAAAGGTAGAGGCAATGGTCACCACCACTTAGGGATGAACATCTTTGTTCTGGAGTGAACTCTTCTTCCTGGCCTCCTCTTTCTGCCCCACCTCTTATGAGGTTCCACTGTTATTCATGTTATCCTGACTCCCAGGAGCTCTCCTTTCTCCTCCATTCTGTAACAAAAAGCCATGTTGTGTGGCCAGGGAGTCATTTTATGGGTGAGACCACATTGTTGTATTTGAGATTTGTGCAAACGAAAAAATGGGATCCTAGGACCTAGCTCCTCATCTGTTCTTGCTTTTGGCTTCATCCAGCATCCCGAAGAGTTATCCTGATGATCATGGGACAGAGTCTAAGTTTCTCCTATAAGCAAGACCTAGCACACTGCTAGTGCTTATAGCTACACCTATAAGGTCCTGCATTGCTGTTAGAGTCAGGTTAAGTCCCACCCACTTCTGTACCCACAGCTTAATTGCTCCCTGGGGGCTCTCCAAGCATGTTCCCATGGCTACCCTCTTCTCCAACCAATACTGGTCCAATTGTAATGCAGGCTTTTGCCTTGAGCTTCATCCAAAGCTTACCCTACTTACACCCCAGATCTATGACTTCCTTCAGTCCTCTGTCCTTGCTGCCCACTAACTCCATGTGTCAGGGCCCTGTACCCTGCTCTGACATGCTTCCCAGTTGGTAGAATATTTTGTTTTTGTTTTTCTCTCTCACAGTCTTGGCCCAGATCCCTAGCCTTCTTTCTACACACAGCCCACAGGCTGCTCTTGTTTCTGTGGATGATAGGGAGATATGAGTCACTAGCCTGGGACTGTTCCCTCCCTCGGCTTCCAGCCCTTCCCTCCTGTTCTTGTTGCAAGAAGCCAAGACTCTTTTTAACTACGCACTTACTTAATTCTATGCGTATGTGGCCGAGTATATATTAAGTATACCACGTGTGTGCAAAGAGCACGAGGTGGTCAGAAGAGGCATCGCCTCCGCTGGAAATGGAGTTACAGATAGTCGCGAGCAGCCATACGGGTTCTGTAAGAGCAGCAGATGTCCTACACCACGGAGCCCCAGAGCCAGGGCTATGTAAGCAGAGCACACCTTGATTCTGATTATCTTGACTCTTGGGGTTGTTCTCCATGTCACCACACGAGCTTCATTTACTTGTTCCAAAGATCTAGCCATTTGGTTCCGTTTATGACACAGTGGTTAACTCTACTCTGGGCCTCTCATAGACTTTACCTTTGGCTTTCTCAATGTTTCCATGGGAATAGAGGCTTCCTAGTCCCACTCAGAACTGACAGAAAATTTTCTGTGTGTCAGGTTCTATGGATTCTGCCTTGGAGTCATTCTCCTGATCCATTGCTGTCTCCATGAAACAATACTCTGTGCTAGGTTGTTCTTTTTTAATGCTCCTGAGTGAAGAATCTGCATGCCTGGTAAGAATTTTAATGCCTGTTCCACTGAATTTTAAAATGGAAAAGGAAACCTGGAACCATGTCTTGATCCAGGAATTCCCAGCCTTCAATCCCGTCTACACAACTGATGGGTGTATGGCTCAGCAAAAAAGAACTTGCAGAACTTCGTAGGTAATCTTGGGAAATGTTGTATAACAACAGTGGAAACTAAGGCCTAGCCATCCCAAGATGACCTGGGTGGGCTGGATAGAGAGAGAAAAGTTACTTTACCAGCGTCGGCAGTTAACAAGCCAGAAAAGTAAGAGCTGTTGGTATGGGGGGGACAATATTTTACTGCTATTTCCCCCAAGAAAGAGAAAAGAAGTAGTTAGAGATAGGACAGAGTAAACTGTGAAGCTCATTAGTGAAAAGTCTGATCTAACGTTATGCCAGGGAAAGCTAATTCCCTTAAGACCTGGGGTAGCACAGGGCTGAGCGGCTGAATTAGCTTAGTTCTTGCCCAGTGAGTAGAAGAGTGAACGGAGAAGAAGGATAGCCTCTCCCATCTTGTTCAAGGACTCAATGGATTATTCATAGTTAAGGTATTTGAAAGGAGAGGACAGCAGAGAGCACACGGAAGAACGTTCCAAGCAGACTGGTCACTTTGCCAAATCTGCTCTAGTTGTGGGTTGTCCTGGTGGGGTTTGTATTTTGATGTTAATTCTGCTTCCTCAAGAGAGAGTACCCCCAATGAAGAGTAGATCAGGTAATCTCACTGAACCTTCTCCCGACTGGCCAAATAAAGGTTAGAGGGAAGGGAGGTCTTGGAGAACAGAGGAAGAGGGGGTAGAAGGAAGATGGAGTAGAACCAATGGCCTGGAGAAGCTGCAAGTAGCAAGAGGTCTCATAGCTGAGGAATAAATCAGTCTAGTGATAGAGCTCTTCAATCTAGACATAAAGCCTATAAATATAACAACTGGGTTGTGTTTTTTCTGTGTAAAAAAATAAGTTTGTATAAGCTTATTGGACTAAGAAAAATTACCGCATCATCCTCTACGACAGAGGAGTTTAATTTCTTTACCAGAATGGTTGTGATTACCTGGCCTTCCTCAGTGTGTGGGTGGGGTTTTGAATGGTATTGTCACTGTATTATTATTGGTTGATTCTTTACCAGGCATGTAGATTGTTCACCTAAGAGCATTAAAAAACAAACAAGCAAAACAAAAAACCTAGCACAGAGTATGGTCTAATGAAGAACGATGCATCCGGTGGAGAATGACTCCCAGGTAGAACACTCAGAACCTGACACACAGAAAAATAGTAGAAGATATTAATAGAGGTTAATTTTTACAATAATAATGTTATTGTTACTATTTCCATGCATGGTCACTAAATGTTTTACCATAGACAAGCCACTTGGGCTATCTCATACATAAAAATGGCCATCTGGGCTGGGGATATAGCTCAATAGAGTGCTTACATGGGCACACACACACACACACACACACACCTTATTCACTTTTATGCTCTGTGATCACAGAAATAATAAAGGAACATAGAAGGAAGAATTAAAAATCCAGTGGTGGCCCCTGCCTGTAGTCACAGCACTTGGGAGATAGAGACGGGGGATCACAGTTTCAGGTTAGCCTGGGCTACATAACGAGACCCTATCTCAAAAGGATAAAAGGGCAAGTGATTTGGAAATTTTAAAGTAAAAATGGAAGGTGACACACTGTCACGTCCCTAATCCACTGAACTGTTTTATGACCACTCTGTGTATGCCCCTAACATATAAAATGGCTTCACTATTGCACTGAAATAGATATAATAAAGTTAGACAAATATGAACACAACTGTAAGTGGAGTAAGGAGTACAATTTATGTTAATATTAAATACAAGTAAACACTGGGTGTCCCCCAGTTTTGTTTCCTAAAAATCATAGCTTGGTTTCTACCACTATGAGCTCCCTGTAAGCCTTGCTAGGTCTAACATCTGCTTGATAAACTTGGCCTGGCCTGGTAACAGTACAGGACATAGGGCCCTATGGAGATAAGTCAAAGGTTACCTGTAGGTTGTATCAACACTCAGGTTGGCTGCAGCTAACTCTGATGGAGGTATCCATGCCGGCAATGTGCTTCCAGCAACCCACTTTGTCCATTCAAATAAGCCCGGCTCGACCCGAATCTTCAAGTGATTGTCTTGTTGTAAACCTTAAGGATGGAGTGAAATTAAGATGAAGCGAGTCCCATCATATTGTCAATGGAAAAACGAGCCACAGGGTAAACTGATAGAGAACATGACAAGATAGACCAGGATGTACCATGCAAGCTTTCAAAGGAGGGAAGAAACCGTAAGTCCTACCTTGCTATACCGCCTCTGAGCCACCATGACAATGAACATGTCAGGATAACCCTAAGGGTATAGCAGTGGCATCCACACCACAGCATCAACCAACAGCTCTCTGCTTGGACTTCTTAAGACCCACTAAACAAGAGGGAAACCATGAAACCTAGCCAACTGCTCAGGGCTAGTGAAATTATGGATCTTGGAGGAAAACTTATAACCCACCACTTAACTAAACCAGCACAATCCCTAACCACAAACTAAGTATCTGCCCGTATACCCACAGATAAGTGTGTCCTCACCCTTCACCATGGACATTTGTCTTTGCACCAGATGGAGACTACTACAGAAAACCACAACCAATCAATGGCAGAATTATGGAGCCCAGCCCCAGTGGTTACATCTATAAATGCTCCCACCTCTAAGGCTCAGGGAACATTATGAAAGAGGGACCAGAGAGATTGGAGGAAACAGAGGATCAGGGAGTTTGCTACCGGATTGCTATCTCCTAGGAATATGAGAAGCCACACCCATGACATTTTGCAAACATGACTGCCTAAATGTGAGTTGAACAAGGATGACACCTACAGACATGAGGGTGGAGGGGACGTGGAGGAGGCCCACGAGGTCTCAACCCGACACAAGGAACTGTGGGTAACTGCGGAATGCTCAGAGTGGGTGTATGGTCTTCTCCAGGGGAAAGCATGTTGATTGGCTGGCCAATACTAAATGCTCAGCCCTGAAAACACACAGGTAGCATTGTACAAACCAAGCAGGTTGTACTTACGTATTTAGAAATACACACTCATATGTAACAAATAAACAAGAAAAAAGTCATGAGGTCGGCAGGGAGAGGTGTGTGGGTGGTTTGAGAGGAGCAAAGGGAAGTGGAAATGATGTAACTATACTACAATCTCAATTTTTAAAAATATTTATTTATTTTATGTATATGAGTACACTGTAGCTGTCTTCATGCACACCAGAAGAGAGCGTCAGATCCCATTACAGATGGTTGTGAGTCACCATGTGGTTGCTGGGAATTGAACTCAGGACCTCCAGAAGAGCAGTTGGTGCTCTTAACCACTGAGCCATCTCTCCAGTCCCTAATCTCAATTTTTTTTTTAAAATTACAAGGCAGTTATTCAGTTCCTACTAGACTCAATGACTTACGTAAGTCAGAGGCACACAGGTTTGGATAATGTTTGTAAATTTTGTGTTTTGCAGTGTTAAATCCTAAAAAGTCTTTAATTTCGTTCTTTACTTCTTCCTTGTACAGTGTTTTTTAATATGTAAGTTGTACAGATATACATAAAGGTGTGTCTAACAAAATAAGATAAAATTTCTGTCTCACCAACACGTTGCGTTTGTTACTCTGGCTGCACCTCTACCTCCTACCTGATTGGCTGCTACCTGATTTAGGGGCAACTCGTCACTCAATGAGTCATTACTCAATTTGTCCAAGCCTGTGACTGTTTTTACCTTCAGAGACAAAAAAGTCTTGCTGTGTATCCTATGCTTGCCATAGTTCTCAATCCTCCTGTCTCAGCTTCCTCGGGAGTTCTGCGATCACAGGTGTGCACCACCACGCCCAGCTCATTTCTACATTACGACCCTTGTCGCTATAGTAAATTCCATGATGTCTTAGAAAACAAAACCTCACACTCAAAACCTCCAGCTATTCTCTTGGTACCGACTACTGTGCAGTAGCACCCACCGTACTTGAAACATCACATCCGTTAACGCGCTTTGTTCATCAGGGAACCCCACGTTGAACATTTACACGTGACAGTGTTCAAGTTCTGTTTTATCATCGTGTGATTCCCCTGGAGTAGAACTTTTTCCTTTATATCTGCTTAACTCTCTTCACGTTGCATTTACCAGTGTCTCTGTGTGCAGTTAATACACAGATGCTTCTGTACCGAGAGGAAGGTTTACTTAAGGTTGAAGAACCGAGGACTCAAGTGTTGTGTCCAATTCTTTGATGGCTTCTTAATTTCTGGCTCATTTGTTTGTCTGGCCAGTCTTCCTTCTAATGGGGTGAGAAGGGAGATCGCCCCAATGTGAATGTTCATGGATTTCAGGGTGAAAGTTGAGTGCTTTGACAGCAACAGAGATTTTAAAGTCTTCTAATTTGTAGGGCAGGGTGGTGGACACCTTTAATCCCAGCACTTGGGAGGTAGAGGCAGGGGATTTCTGTGAGTGTGAAGCCAATATGGTCTATACAGAGTATTCCAGACCAATCAAGGCTACACAGTGAGACCACATCTCAAAAAATAAATGAATGGATGAATGAATGAATGAATGAATGAATGAATAAGTCTTTGCAATTAACTGAAGAAACTAAGATGGTAATGGTGTGGAACACCTAACATCTCAGTTACTACTGAAAACATCTGAAAGCCAGGCAAGATTGATCATCTCATTGCTTAAATGCAAAAGGAATCCTCTCTGTAAAAGTTGTAAATATTCTGTACAGCCACAATCTAAGAGAGCTTAAAACCCTTAAGGAAAAATTAGTAATATTCTCCCTTTATTTATCTGGATTACATTGTCAGGAGTATGACTCCTGTGCAAGGTTGTCACCTTGTAGAAGAAACATCAATAAGAGTTTCAGATTTCTGCGAGCCATGGTGTCTCAAGCCTGTAATCCTGGCATTGAGGAGGCTGAGGCAGGAGGATTGCCGTAGGTTTGAGGGTAACCTAGGCTGCGTGTCACCTTGAAACCCTGTCTCAAAAACAAACAAGCAAACAAACAGACACAAAGTAAACGTTCCATTTTGAAACTCCATAACGCTACAGTAAGGTACAGGAAGCAGAGGGCTGGACCGCACAACCTCTGTCCAGCCAAGAGTCTTACCTTTCAATATATTATGTGCAGTCTGAACACAGCGTAGGGATGGAGAGCAATACACGTGATCAATAACGGTATTACTTTCTAACAAGGCTTCACCTGCCGAGCAAATCAACAGAGAATCATCATGATGGGTTCACTAGGGCATCATCCTGACCCTCAGCGGAATGGTGCCAAGCAGACCCATAATCCTCCTTTTCCCATCAGGAGCTTGCAGAGAGCCTAGCGTCAGCCAGGTCCCTCATGAGCGCGTCCATGGAGAGGACCAGACAACACCCTCTTCTTGCCTTCTCATTTTCGTCTGTCTGGAGCCAGCATGCAGCAAAATGCCCTGTTAGGGGAGGCCTACCAACAGGATAATGCTCTGACCTCTACAAGGAAGATGCTAAAACCTGCTCTCTGGTACCAGGAAGAGGACTGATACCCTGTCAGACACTGCTACTATTCCAGTGTGCTAACCTGAATCTCAGCTGTCCAAACTCAACATCCAATGCTCTAAGGCCCTAAGGTTCCTTGTGTGGCTCACTTCTTTTCTCTACAAGGTAAACTTTAAGGATCTTTCATGTGGTGTCAATGTTCATCTCGGCAGCCCCTTCTCTTGACCTGCCTACCTCAACTTCTGCTCTTACATCTGAGAGAGAGAGAGAGAGAGAGAGAGAGAGAGAGAGAGAGAGAGAGAGAGAGAGAGAGAGAG